CGTTTGCAGAAAGAGATTTGTCGTATTTGTCAAAGATGATATAAATCAGTTGTTGAATAATAAATATACTGTTGTACAAAGGGTATGTTCATCACCCTCATTTAGCATTTCATGATTTTTCATTAAATTCTAAATAGCCATCTTGGGCATACTATTACACCAGCAGGCCCGTAGCCAGGGGGTTCCCTTCCCCCTGGCCAAAAATTCTTTCAAAATCAGTTTTTCACCATTTTGAGCACTTCTCAAGTGATTTTAGCCATATTTGGGTCAAAATTGTCAAATGTGAACACCCAAAATATTTGAACCCCCCTTTGCAAATCCTGGCTACGGGCCTGACCAGTGTATTCCTTCAGTCATATGTAATACCTTAAAGGAACAAGATGCATCTGAAGATGACCAGCTACAGCTATATTTATGCTATTCCAATATACAGGAACAAAAATGACAGTTATGGATTATAAACAAAACAGTTCTCCAAGGGACAACTCTAAGATATAACTCTAAGATATAAAAGATAATCCTCTTTCTGTTTAGGAATGGAAAAATGTAGACCTTCATAATAAAAAATATTAATTAGTTTCATTCCTTTCTGAAAAATATTATGGTTTTGGGTAAAAAGATTAAATCCCCACAGGCTATTTTTGTTTTAATATGGCCTTCTATTTAGCCTATAGATGGTCCAAGATAAGGAATGATTTTTGGAATTTTTGATAGTAGGATGTACTCAAAGGTTGTGCTTGGACTGTTTAGTCCTAATATCTGCCTTAGATTATCTCATTTAATTACACATTTTACTGCTAAAAGACAGTGTTTTTCATTTCTTTTTTTCTTGTCATAGTTATACTGCAGTTATACAGAGGCATATTTACAAAATATTTGAGTTTGTATTCACAGTTCATGACATCATTTGACGGTGGAAGCTTAAGTGTAGTGTCACGTATCTACTCTAAACAGGTCACGTTTGTATGTATTTTCAACAGAAATTAGTAGAATTTTAGGCCTCTGACACGATCTTCATATTTGGAAATTCTTTAAATTTACTATGTACTCAGAGTATTATATGCTTTTACTTCACATGTGAGCAACAGTTTTCTTTTATTCTGGAATAATATTTAGATCTGTTTTAACACCATGCATTGGCTGTAATCACAACTAGTGAAATAGGAAATATAAAGAATGGACTCTTAATATGTTTATTTATGTATTTAGTTGAATAGAGCATAATTAAAGTTAATTAGTTGACATCAAAGTGACCATTTTAAAGTCTATATCCTGGTTTTTCATAACAAATTCCTTGCAGGTCTAACACATTAGTTCTGGTATTGGCAGGAGGCGGGGGGGGGGGGGGGGGGTTAATTTGGAATAGAAGGGTTAAGCAGGGGTCATGGTTTTGGAGACAATAATTCAAAATACTAGATTATAGTACATGATTAACATTGTATAGATGGATGTATGACAACGTATATGATAATTTTGATATTTCCCTAGAACCCATTTCCATATATTCTCATTGCTGATTATTCTGTCTGGTTTTATATTTGATGGCGAGTCTGTGTTGTCACATGTAAACTCTTGATAACTCTATTTATTTAGGACAATAGATAAATCCGAGATGAAGATTAATTCCCAAGGTATTACAAATTGATTTCCTTAGTACAGTATATAATTGTTGTTCTTTTGAAACCATCTTTTTATTGATATGTCCTCATCAAATGGATGAAATTACTGATTTTCTTAAAAAAACATTATTGAATAAAAACAACTTTGTAAGAAAATCAATTCTTTGAATATTTGAATTTTTGAAGTGAAATATACACTGATCATGAGTAGTATTGACAATGATATTATTTGCATGAGATGAGTAAAAGTGTGGGAACATGTTGTGTTCATTCTACCACCCCTGTGTGTTTACATATTGGACTGGTCTTAATTAGGGCCCCTGTGATTACAAACACATCCTCTATGTTCCAAGTCCACTACTTCATTAATATCTATGAGAGTCGCTAATCCACTAAGTCATGACAAGGATGACCCATACAAGCCAGCATGCTGAAAACATGGTAATCATTTTTGTAACATTCCTTTAAATTTTTTGTTAGTTGTATTTAGATGACTTTAATCATGACGGCACTGAGGTAAGTTAAGTTATGTATGTATGTATGTAACCTCCTAGTTACGGAGGCTAGGATTTCCACCAATCGGATTACAGCAATGTTGCGCTGGATGCCTATCAAGGCAGTCGCGGCCTCCCTCTGTAAACTACCCTAGCAAGCTGACTGCTACATTACATGGTACACCACCAGTATCTCCAGTTTCACATTGAATCGGCACAGATTGAATATCAGAGTGAGATTTCAAGACTGGATTGGGAAAAGGAGAATAATAGAGCTTTAAGTAATTGGAGGCATTAATGAGAGAGGATCTGGAATGCTGGATATTGTATTATAAACTTGCAAACAGCAACCTGTTGAAACAATCGATGAAGCTGGAGGTCCCTGACTATTACGTAAGACCAACATTTTCATTACAACAGTACAGGATTCGTTATACAGAGATCCCCCAAGAATGAAAAGGTTGATAAATGGAGCATTGTCTCACATTTTTAGGTTTGATGTAGTATAGCATAATAAAGAGTTTAATTGTTTCGATGTAGTCATTCTGGCAGCCATTTTGGTATATACAGTGAGGCATTTCAGTGTGGCGGTTATCATTTAATTACTTGTAATCACAGTGTAGCATCCATAGATGCCAAATGCTACGTTACCTAGTAAATAAGTATTAGATTGAATATCACTGGTACAAATCTTTTGAAATCACTGAGTTAATCTGGAACAAAAAGCTGTATGTTGAATAGTCGGTGGATGTCAGTTCTTTACCTCCTATTGTTCTAACTACTGTCTTCTATTGTGTGATGAAGGAATGAGCTCACATGGTTTTCTTTATTGCAAATCTTTATTGTAATTGGCTCATTTTTCATTAACAAGAACAAAAGGTTGATTGCGAGTTTCAACTGGGATAATTACACGTTCGTTCAGTGGGGCTTTGTAGAACGTTAGATCCCCTACTACTTGGATGTTAAAAACCGTAATTTTGATTGTTCGTTAGTAATTTCATTTGTTCTTTCGTAACAAAAGCTAAGAGCAGTACAGCTGTCCAATAGCGCTATACATTCTCAACGAAATCAGGACATGTCTGTAAAGCACCCTATATGAGGTAACAGTCCATTGTTTCCCAAACTCTACTGACATTCATTATAGGTGTAATAAATTTATGATCTCATTAAAATTACTTAAATTACTGAAGTTATTAATTAAAAATTGAATAGGTTTTAGTGAAACAGAGACAAGGCTGCAAAAGTGTCTAATACCACATGCGACGTGTATGTTTGTAACAATATATCTCATACTAATCGCTTTTCAAACAGCATCATTCAGCCTGACATGGACATGCATGTTAGTTTTTATAATATGGATATATTTTTTTTATATCTATGGTACAACAGACTGTAATTTGTCAATGCTTTTCCATCATGTAATAATCAGAAAATCAAACAAGTACATGAAACATTGTTGGAAAAATGAAGTCCATCTTGAAATGGTTATTTTTCACAGATTATCATAATACATGTACAGTATATGATTTTTGGGACTTGCAATCAAAAGCGTGTCTAAATGTAATATAGAGAAAACATTCATGTAAAGATTCATTCTTAAATTGAATGGTTTAATGTTAAAGTGTGGGAATATTTGTAAATTTGATCTCCTTGGTAACACCTGATCTTGCATATTGCACAGACCCCCTGATTATAACAATGTCTCGCCTGACAGTTCCGCCACATCTATTGAGTACGGGAGATTCACCCAAGCTTTTGTTGGCTCCAGTACCTTGTACATGGCCAGGTGAAGGAGCTTGGTTATGAAAACCAAAAAACACCATTTCCTGGTGAAATGATTGAACCTATGTAAGAAAGGAGATTGTTTTCAGTATACCATGTTAAATATTTTGTCAAGTTAAAGGTAGAAACATATCCTGTATCATTCCAAATATAAGGAACCCAAAGTGATCTCATCTGTAATAATACCATAGTCCAGGATAATTTTGCGAATTTTGAGAAAATTGACAATGACAAGGATTGCTTAGAGAAACTGAAACATATTTTTTGAGAAAGTTGATTTCTATCTCTGATTTTACATCTAAAGGCATCATAAGATATTTATGTTTATATACCATAATAACTGCACCATTCATTCCCTTTATTATTATCAAACTTCATTTACTACCTCATAAATGTACAATATATATCAGTATAATAGGTGATATTAATGAAAATAAAGGCATTTTTCAGTAACTTTGTTTTTTTGGGTTCTCCAATGTCTTCTCTAATAATTAGAAGAACAGAGAGGATTTAACTAAACGATAATAAGTTTACTGAAAACAAGAAATTTGTCTTCCCCATGAAAGCAGCTGGGTGTAATTGGCTAATTGCGCTCATCCTAGAAAGTGAAGCAATTTCGCTGCTTTGTATGAAAAATGATATTTTTTCAAAATGGTGTACAAGCGTGTGTGGTACTTTACACTAATACAAAGACAAAACAAAACAAAACAAAATTCTGCAAAATACAGATTTGAGAGTTAATTTGAAAAATATGTTTGCTACTCTTTTATTTAATGCAGCTGCATAAGTTAATTATCTAACAATTGTGGTCGTCCTTCTTCCATGATCATTTTGATTAATGTGCTTACAAAAAGAATTTTAACAATTGTTTACTAGATTTTCTTCTGTGTGCCAAAGACTATAATTTAAACTTCAGAATTTGAAATAGAGAGGAGAATTATACTTTTGAGGGGAAAATATGACTTACATCTAAATGTATCAAACGTAATATACGTTGGTTTGAAATAAAACATTATGCAGATATAAATGGATAATAATGTTTATTTACAATAATTTTTCTTGAAGTACTAAATATAAATTTAACAAAACTTTTGTGTGATTTCAGGTGAAGAGAGCACGTCACGACAATTCTGTGGATGTAGCGGATAACACCAATTGCAATAGGTAAGCCCAGTTTTACAAAACTACGAGGTGTTCCCTTTTCATTGGGTTTGTTCATTAAAAAATTACTTGTCGTACTCAGAGGTTGGTATGGCTTGCTGATGAGGATCAGGGGTTCGTTTTTGATTAATGTTGCAGAATTCCCATACCCGTATGTTTTGAAAGTTTGGTACTATATTGTCAAATAAAGGATAGTTCTGGTAGAAGTTTTCAAAGCTTTTTCAAAAATTCCTAGTTCATGAAAAATTAAGTGGGAATTTTCCATCCAGTGATAGAAGTGTAATATCTTTTGTGTAATAGGCTTTAGTGTAATAATTTAGGATAATCTCCTACGTGTTGATCTAACATGACTTTTTCAAGTTAGTCACTACATTTCAGTTCCTTCGCAGATTAAGCCCGATTTCCTGTGAGATAAGCTTTCATTTGATAATTTGTTTGGCAAATTAACCAATTACTTTCGCCTGTACTAGTCCTAAAACATGCAATCCTTCATTGACTCTGATGGTTAAAGCTTTGGGATGAAGTCTGGTTTGTGTGAAGGGTTTGACATGCTACATGTTTATAATGGATCTAACCTATCCCAGTATTAGAATCAGGTGAGAATGCATATACCCTGAGTTTATAGTTAATCACTAACCTCTAATGAATATCCCAAATTTGGACCCCAGCCCTCTGGTTAAAAAAGGCTTAGTTTAGGTGTTGACAAAATAAACTTCTGCTGAGTACATATGCAAGACAGAACATATAGGAAAGTCAAAAGTATTTGGATTAGCTTTTGTTCACATTTCATGATTTCTTATATGTGAGTCAGTGAGAGATAATAATTGGAACTGAGAAAAAATGTTCACATTTAGGATGGTTGAGTAAGAGAGGTGTTTGGATGTACAGGTTTTACTATAGGTATCAGGCCCGAAGGGGGGGGGGGGTTCGGGGGTTCGGGCGAACCCCCACCCGGCCAAAATTTCTTTCAAAATCATGCAGTTTTTCACCATTCTGATTACTTTTTGAGTGATTTTTGGCTATATTTGCCAAAGTGAACTCCCCCCCTAGAATTTTTTAGAAAAACGAACCCCCCCTTGGAAAATTCTGGCTACGGGCCTCGTTATGACCCTCATTCTCATCATTTACAGTTGTTCCTACCAGGCACTTGGTAGTAATACACATGGCTCATTCAAGGAGATTATCAGGATTTCCTAATTAATATTCATCTGGGATTAGAGCAGATTTAATTGAAGATTTATAAAGCAGCTTTGATTAGTCCAAGTTAATGCATTAAGGATTACTGCATAAAAAGCCAAGTGTTAGTAGCTTTATAATGTCTAGACATCCTCTGTAGTATTCTCAGGCTGCACAAGTCTGATTGTTCAAAAAGCAATTCGAAATTAATGAATCCTTTGTATTATTTTCTCAATCATTTGTTTTACATTTTATTGGTCTCTTGCTTTTGTTTCTGAGGACTAATCTGTAGAGAAGGATTGTCCTTAATGAGCTCACATGAACTTGCTTTCCATTTGTATATAGTTATGGGAGGTTATGCTTTCCAATGGTATATAGAGTTATAGGAAGGGGTCAGTGCGGAAACATAGAGAAATGTTGTAGCAGTTGATAGGGGTCAGGAAGAGGTTGTTACACTGAGACATGTTGTTGTGTTTAGTCATGGTCCTTATGGCCCATTGACTCTTCATCACTAGCCACAGGTTCATTATAGTGAAAGTCACCAATGTAACCATTTAGCTGGTGCTTCTATACAAAACTGCAGACCTCAGTTATATTTATGTTTCTACACCCCTCAGTGTCTTTGTATGACCAGGGGGCCCTGAACAATGGGCCAATGGTCCCATGTTAAATTCACCTCAATGGCAAATGATTCAGCTCTGTAAGTACCATTAGCTTTAGTTTTCTCTCTGGACATTGGGCTATAATTTGCTTGCCACACTTTGTTCTTGGAATGTCTTCAGAACAGCAGGGTATCTTTTTAGATATTACTAATAACTGGACCTAAGAAAATTGAAAGTCAACCAGATACAAGGAATCCATCTATATCCCATGAACTGCACATCCTTTTCATTGATTTTACTTTCCCACAATGCAAATAATGGGGGTGTAAGTCACATGATCATTCCTATGTTTCTTGGGTAAGAACTCTTCTGATACATAAAAGAAAGGGAAATTTTCTTGAAATTCTATTTATTTTGTTTGTAATAATTTAATGTATGTTAAATGGATGGATATAATAGATTTCAGTTCAGTTATACCAGATGAGAGAAATAACTGATTTTCGAAAGCCATATTCTGTATGACAAGATTTTGAAGAAATATGATAAAATAAGACAATACAAGCAATGTTTTGGAATAAATATTAAAATTGATTTTTCAATAAATGTTTATTCGATTCATTAAATGATCTAAGGAGCTGGGAAATGGATTCAAGGGGATTGATCATATTTATATTTACCTTACGTTAAAGGTTGCTGTTCTATGTATCACAATCCAACTCTGTTGGAGTGTTTTCCACACTCAAAATGTAATATGTAGCACATTACATCTTACAATTAAAATCCGAGAATTCAATTCTAGAGTCAAATAATCAGTCAAGTTACTTTGGTTAATTGTTTACTAGACAAGTGGAATCATGTTTACTAGTACACATTGTAAATATGCTTAGCAATTTTGGACTAATTAACTTAACGGGGACCTGCAGTTAAATGTTAACAACCTTTGGAAATATATTGATGCTGTTTGATGCCTATGTGTGTCATACTCACTGTATATGTTACTTTGCAATTGAAACAATAACACTAGACATTTGAACAGTCCTCTCAGCCAATTGTTAAATATTTAAAATGGTATGAACTTATTTGCACTTTTGCTTTTCGTAAGAATGCAAATTATTCTCTGGTCGTGACCTCGCATTATGGAGATGTTAGAAACTGCAATTTGTTCATTGTTGGCAAGTAAGGTGTATGCTGATTAAAGTTTCGCAATAAAAAAATATTCTGCGACATGATAAACCCAAAGCATCATCTTCCTCCTCAAAAGAAATGCTAATACAGATTTTTCATGAAATATTCTCATTTATTTTAGAAGTTAAATCGAGCCTGAAAAATCGAACATGAAAATTCCTTGAATTATACCTACTGCTTTCTAAGATCCTGAATTTTTAATGATTCTTTATTTACAACCACAGGTTCTTCTTAATATATGGCATATATTTTTTGCTTTTGGCGGTATGACCTTCATGTCAACATTTCAATGACTTAGATGTACAACTCCGAGTGACATATAACTGAAATGGTTTACTCCCTGCAGTGACCTGCCGTCTTCTCCTTGGTTCCTCCATAACAAACGTTCCTAGCATAGTTAAAGCCTCAGGGGATATTTGCTCTAAAGTATCTTAATATTTTTATTCCTAGCATTTTTCCAGAAGAAAAACATTACCAAATCAAGAAATTATACTAGTGACTAATTTCTGTGGATGGTTCTTCAACCTTGAGAATTTAGAATATACATGTACTAAAATGCAATTTTAGTTTTGCTTAGAATTTGGAAAGTACTTGTATTAACTATTGGCAGGGCAATTATTGTTTCCCGGAGTTTCTACTCTGAAAAAGATTAATTTTGTTGGAAATTCTCATTGCTTTTGGAATCTAACTTCCTAATAACTTGAGGATTTTTCGCGAAAAATATTAATAATCTCCTACCTTTATAATTAAAAATGCTCATTTCTGTATGTCCCTATTCTAGGTTCAATAAGGAAAGAGAATGCTGTGGTTTTAATAATGATGTGGCACCGTTGTCATTTACCAAATCTATATTACATTAAGGTTGATATGTTAGTCAAATAAGGATGATGCTACTTTTAAACATGATTACCATCGTTATCATTAATTTAGAGATTTCTCAAGGCTTTTCCATGCTGTATTTTAAAGCAAATAACCATTTCAATCTGTCTAGAGCAATATATTCAGTTAGTAATGTATCATAGTTTGGGGTACACTAAAGTAAATCTATAAGTAGGAATTTAATTGTGTAATTACGACTATTGAATCTCATACTTTGAAATTAACGATAATGATATTCACTGTGAACCGTATGTCAACACTGACTCCACCTTTTCTATTTACACTGAATATATTTTCACTTGATGTTAAATAATGATTATGATGAACTGGCTTCCTTCTACAATTGGTCATCAAAGAGGCCCTGTGAAACATGAAAAGATTTTAGCTTTCATCAGTATGACATCTTAAGTCCATTACAAATATCTATATTTGTTTCTATCTTCAATTCATAGCATATTAGTATGCCATTATAACACTTATACATCGATTTTAAAAAATAGCTGAAGAATAATCCTTACTTTTTTTTTTATTTGGTATGCTATTATGTGGAGCATGTTTGAATTATAAAAACGCAAAAAGATAACATGTAGTAGTGAAAAAACTAGTGATTCCATAAATATAACTGGAAATGCCATTTCCTGGTTCATTTAGAAATGATTGCTATGAAAGGCTGTTTGAAATGACTGAGATTTATACAACTTTTACACTTATTTAAAGGCTCTATATATGAAATGACCAAGGTTTTCCAACATTTAAAGGCTATATGAAATGACCATGATTTATGCAACATTTAAAGGCTCAATGAAATGACTGAGATAGACTGTCAAATGATTATCATACAATTTTGTGTTGAACACCATTATTGAAAGAAAGGATGGTAAAACCCTTCACATCTTTGTCTGTAAAGATATGAAGAAGCACAAAAGCTTTTTAGTTGATAGAGGAGTCTAAGTCGTATATGTTATAATTTAGCTCATTATCAAGACAAAAATTGTTCGCACCCTATGGATGTAAACTTTTCAAGAAGTACAAAAGAGTTGCCTGCGTACAACGTGATTCTGAAAAGAAAGCTTAAAAATGTCATGTTTTAACAAAAATTAAAAAAAATAAGTATAATGTTTATTTGATGTGACAGTATTTGAGGCAAGGATTCTAAGTTCTAGTCTTTATGTAGTAGGTATTGATCATTATCTGATAGGACTCAATGAACTGACTGAACCTTTATAAAAACTAACCTTGTTATAAGGAGTAGCTCAGACCAGGATTCAGTTAAACTCTGTTTCCCCCAAAATGTCCCCATATGTGGTTTATACCCTTACCCGCTGGTTTCTCATAGAATTCTTTACAAATAACTTATCATTAACATACCAAAACTAGGTTATTACAAATTTTGCTACAAAAATACTGATACTGTGCTTTTTGCAGCATATTTACTCTCAGTTTAACCAGTAAAATTTCAAAAATTCACAAAATGGATATATTTGAGTCAAAGTTGGAAGGGTTTCTAAAATTGTTGCTTGGAGATGGTTTGACAGTTTGGGAAAGGAAGGAGGGGTTTCTGAAATTAACAAAAATATAGATTATCAGTAGTTTGTTGAAAGTTTGTGACCACTATAAGTTTTTGTGGTTACATACCACATTTGGTGAACAGAGCTGTTCTTTGACATGCTGAATTGAACTATAAATGACCACTTTTGATAAGAGAACCTCAGATAGCTAAACTGACATGACACTGAAAGTTAATGACAACAAAGTTATGCTTGATAAGCAGTAATTCATATGTTTTTTTTAACAATATAATGTAAAATTCAAGGAAGCACTTTTATAAAGCAACTTTGACTTCGAAAAAGAAAAGAAATATTCCTGATATTGAATCAGATGGGTATATGCAAAATGTTGCATGTTGATGCTTATTGTATGTTGGTGTCTGATATTGTATGTTGATGTCTGTATTTTGATGCTTATTGTATGTTGATGTCTGATGTTGTATTTTGATGTCTAATATTTTATGTTGATGTCTAATATTATATGTTGATGTCTGATATTGTACATTGATGCTTATTGTATGTTGATGTCTGATATTGTACATTGATGCTTATTGTATGTTGATGTCTGATATTGTATGTTGCAGAGGTGACAGTCAGCCTATATCCAGTCCTGGAAGTGAGATCAGCAGTAACAGTAGTTCACCACATACCACTACAACTCTTGAACCATGCCCTCTTACAGCTAGCCAAACTGTTGATGGTAAGTTTAACATGCCCTTTTATCCTATAACACACCCTCTTACAGCTAGCCAAACTGTTGATGGTATGTTTAAGATGCCCTCTTATCCTATAACATGCCTTCTTACAGTTAGCCAAACTGTTGATGGTAAGTTGAACATGCCCTCTTATCCTAGGCCTATAACATGCCCTCTTACAGCTAGCCAAACTGTTAATGATAAGTTGAACATGCCCTCTTATCCTATAACATGCCCTCTTACAGCTAGTTAAACTGTTGATGGTAAGTTAAACATGCCCTCTTATCCTAAAACATGCCCTCTTGCAGCTAGCCAAACTGTTGATGGTAAGTTAAACATGCCCTCTTATCCTAAAACATGCCTTCTTGCAGCTAGCCAAACTGTTGATGGTAAGATTAACATGCTCTCTTATACTATAACATGCCCTATTACAGCAAACCAGACTGTTGATGGTAAGTTCACCATGTCTTTTTAAACAGTGTAGCATGCCCTATTTAGCAAACCAAATTGTTGATGTTATATTTACCTTGCCCTCTGATAGTATACCATTCCCTATAAGAGCAAACAAAACTGCTAATGGTCAACTAAACACGAGCTTTTGCAACTGTTGATGGTAAGTTCACCCTATACATGTATTAATGAACTTGTCGCAACTAAGGGTGTCCAGGAATTTTCTCATAGATGCCAAATGCAACACTTCTATCTTATAACCATTATTTCATATTAGATGGATCTCGGGTAGGTTTGTGCTGCTTAAAGCTAATATTTTGCTGGATTTTCAACATGTGTGAGAGAATGCAAAGTATTTACCCAAATTATACGAAGTATTTTTTTGTTTTATAGCAGTCATGTTATTGTCATGACAACTGTTCCTTTGTGGGTTCCTATCAAAATTCCTGAATCGATCTTTATGAAAATCATTGGAAATTATAGAACTTTGTTAAAGCTAATTAGTTCAACGTAAGATCTTTGTGTAGTAAGCCGTTAAACAAAGATAAAAAACGATGAGAAGTGTTGATCTAGTAAACATACATTGGCCTGTTGTAAATATTCCAGAGCAAATCGCTAATGCTTTTCCATTTTATTGGTATATAAATGATGCAGGTTTGACATAGATTTTGAGAACTGACCAAATGTTTACTAAAATGGATTATTAGAGTGAGCAAGCGATTATTCTTCTCAATTATAATCGCTCAACTGAAGTGAACCCCAGGCTTGTGTATTATTTTTCTTCAGATTTTTTGTAACTTTATCTGAGAAAACCCAATCAATATGGTATGTAAAGTGCGATAAATGTCGCATGTAAAATGACCAGGAGCGGCTCCAACTACATCTACTTATCCCTTGGAGGAGAGACAGTAGACATACAAAGACCCCTTAGAAACTAATGAAACATCTTTTCATTCAATTTGTCGACCAATTTCTATTATCTATCCCTTCTTGATTTTCTCTCAGATTATTTCTCTATAACTCATTGAAAAACCAGAATTTTAAGTTAATGTTTTGTGTTTAGTTAAGGTCTTAAATGATCAGAATCAACATCTAAGGAGTTTGGGCCACAGTCTATTAAGATCAATACCGCTAAAAGGTTGTGCCCTATTATGCAGGGGATTTCCTCAGAGCTTCCTATCAATTTTTTCACAAGAGGGGCGATTAACTTTGCAGAGCTTGTGTAGATGTATAATTAAGCGTTAGACATCAGAAAGACTTTCTAATTCTTCTTTTGATTTAATTTGTATTGAGCTCTTGATTTTGGAATATAAATGGTGTGTGATCTGAGATTGAATTTTGGATATTTAGAATATTTATCAAAGACTGGTCTTCATCATGCTACACATTGTCTCAACATTACTGTTTCATGTGCAACCATTCACAACCACATCAGAAAAAGGTGCCTTATTAGATATGTACCCCCCCTCCTTTGTGGAGAGACTTCCCCCTGAGTTGCATGGTCTCTCAATTAGAAAAACAGGATTTAAAGATTCAGTATGTACCATTAATTATTAACTGTATCGTTCAACCACTGTTTATTCCTTGCTTCTGGTTTCCTTGGCTACAAAGAAGCTGGTTCAGGTGATTCTAAGGTACTCTTAATTAATTTTTATTAATCAAACTCAAAATAACAACCTTTTAATTTTCTTCTGGGCACAGCAGGATATTATATGACAGAGTAATTATGGTTCTTTTACAGTGATGTTTCACAGTGAAATAGTGTCACATTTCTTTGTGGCAATTTGTGGGCTTAACAGTACATACATATAACCAGGGTGTAAAATATGTGTTGTTATGTCTTTTCTTGCGATATGTCTCGGCCAGTTTTGAAAACACAATTCACAAAATTCATTAGACTTTTTATCTTATATATTCTCACTCTCTCTTGTTTTCATTTTCTTTATATTCAGAAATGGGATCTTGGATGAAATTTAAAAATAAGCTAATTTTCATATTTTTATAATTATTACTTTTTCATTTTTTTTGTACTGACATTATATGTGAGTTGGACCTAAAACTATGTGTCGATATTAAGCTTTTATTAGTTTTTATTGTGTCTTTATGGAGACAACATAATATTCAATGATTGACAGGGCCTAAGCCAAGACATTATTGAACATGCTTATTACATGACCTACAACCACTAGGGTTATTAACATGTAGGTTAAGTTGGGAGACTCTTCAGGGGTTATTAACATGTAGGTTAAGTTGGGAGACACTTCAGGGGTTATTAACATGTAGGTTAAGTTGGGAGACTCTTCAGGGGTTATTAACATGTAGGTTAAGTTGGGAGACTCTTAAGGGGTTATTAACATGTAGGTTAAGTTTGGAGACTCATAAGAGGTTATTAACATGTAGGTTAAGTTGGGAGACTCTTAAGGGGTTATAAACATGTAGGTTAAGTTGGGAGACTCTTCAGGGGTTATTAACATGTAGGTTAAGTTGGGAGACTCTTCAAGGATTATATTGTGTTTTATTTGAATGTTAATATCATTAACCAAGTTTTCATATAGAAATCAGGTAAAAATTATAGATTTCTCTTTTATAAATAAATTTTCAATTTTCAGACAAGAAAGGTGCCAAAGAATAAACATACATCTTATTGATTAGTTTTGTTAAAATCACAATTTGTATTCTAAATGTAACTTAACTTACTGAAATACCCAAGTGTAATACCTTCAAGCGATTGTGAAGAAGTCAAAGGCTAAAAAAACGTTGATAAAATTTGAATTATTATATAAAAGGAATGGCGGAAAGGAATATGTTTTCAGGATGTTTGTTTATTTTTGACAATGGGGGAGGAAAACTCTTCATTAAGTGTAAGATGTATATACAGTGAATTTTAACTACTTTACAATATGTTTTCTATATTGATTTCTGTTTTGCGGTCTCTTTGAACTCCAGAAAGCCTTGCATAGAAAATTCTTGTCTTCTACTTTTCAAATGCTCCCTTTTAGAATAAAAGCATAGATTCATTGTTTGAAATTATAACAATATAATGTATACATTATCTTTAGTCTTCAACATATGCTCCCAATAGCAGAAACTATTAAAATAAATAGATATATTCTCCTTGAGTTTAACTTAGCTGACTGAGAAAGCCTTTACAAGAAGCCTGGCGCCACAGAAAAACAAAAAATTCTTTAGTAGATCGGCTTGTACAAATACCTCTATTGAACAGTATTGGCTAAAGCGCTATTAAATTAGTCTATCGACAGTTCAGCAATGAAGGAATACATAGTGAATGTTGAAGCGATTTTGTAGACAATATAGCTACAATAATCAAGTAGATATATCAGGAACATAAAATTGGCATATATATACGTATATGTAGATACACCTTTGACACGTGAACTACTGAGATACTTTAGGAATTAAGAACTATGACACATGAATATGATGGATTACTGACACATAATGTTGTTGGATTAGTATGACTTTGAAGACACTGCTGATAGGTAGTGTTTTCAGTGATTATTTTCATTTCAAAGTTCATATGGATGTTAACAAGGTGGGAATGCATATTTAATAAAAAGAGGAATGAGAATTATAGTAGTCACAAAATGTCGAAGGTGACTAATATGAATTTAAATGCCCCTTGTTTTTATATTACAAAATGTTTTTATATGAAAAAGGGTATTATAATCTATGGAACATGGTGCACTGTTCTATGAAATATGGTGCAACATTCTAAGAAACACGGTGCAGTATTCTTTAAAACAAGGTGCAATGATCTCTGAAACATAGTGCTGTGTTCTATGAAGCGTGTTGCAGTGTGTTACACACTATGTTACACACTATGTTACATTTTTCAGGTGGTGTGAGTGGTCTAACAGGAGCAGGGGTCCTTGCAGGATTTACAAACTCAGATACATGGGTAATGTCAAATGTATCAGCTGTCAATGAGACTACAATTTCCTGCAGTAAGTACCTCCTTTATAATCAATTATTACCCAGCATGCAACATGTCTACTTTTACCCATAATGCACCCCCAGTGCCTAAAATGTTATTACCCATACTTTTGAGTTAAAAGGTGAATTTAGATACTCTTAAGTTATGTGTCCCTCTATTTATGGAAATTGATGGGTATGATCATTTGTTGAGATTTTACCCCAGTGTGTTTTCAGAGGATAGACTTGATGGGCAGTATACAGACAAACAAGTTCCCTAATTTGTGTAATTGTTTTAATTTTGTTTAAAAACAAAATATTTGTTGATATATATTTCATTGCCTCTTTAGAATGCCATATCATAACATCATCAAATTAGATTGAAATTATATTCAAAGACCATAGTCAAACATGATGACAATGTGAATGTTTTGCTTAAAACTGAGGTGGTCTGATACTTTTGGCATTAGTCTAGGTAATAGCTAGACACCATGTTGTCAGTCAATATGAGTAAGTTATAATAGTACATTGATGCCATATATAGCAACAAGAGATCCATATTCCAGTGTTCTCTTAAGTGAATATCTTTGTTCTCAATAAGTTATGCTTCCCTCCTTTATTACAAGGCCTTGGCCTTTTTAGTAACCTATTTATATATATGTCTGAGGTAGGCAGGGCAGACCAGATAATCCTTTTATACATGCTGATGTCATTTGCAAACAGGTCCCATATTGTTTAACACTGATCACCTTATACTTGTATTTTTTGAAATGATAAACAATGTTTTTAATGCCTTTCTTACTTTAACTTGTTATTTTGATAAACAGTATTCTAAAATCTGAAATATTTTCTGTGGTACATAGTGACATTTATAGTAGAATTCATCGATACCTAATTTGGATTTATTTGAATTTAAGAATATACTGGGTTTATCTTGTTCACTGTATCTTCTTCATTATACAGTAGTATATTTGAGAAAATGTATGGATTAAAGATTGTAGGGGGTGCTAAAGAAAAATGGGTGTACAGAGCCCATGTTAAAGGGAGTATCATTCTGTTGTTAGATTTATCAAAATATATTCAACTTCTTTTTAGTACTTCAGCTAGCATGTCCAAATAAATAATATTTTGAAGTTATTGGTCTCTTGTGTATTATACACAATGTAGTACTCTCTCTATGATGTCATCGATAAGCTTTTATAATATTTCATTGAAAAGCTAAACATATTACAATGACTATCCTAACCTCTTAAACATCCTTTATTTTCCCAGGATATAAAAGATGTGCAGTTTTTAAAAAGTTATTTGTGAGCAATTGATAAAATAAAATTCAAATATTATGTTAGTTGCCATTGGGAGTCTGGATTGCCTGGAGTGATGCTTCATTTCTGAGAAACAATTATTAAGAGCTGAACTTTATTGAGAAAACTAAATGTTCAAGCCATTGTTATAGCATAAGCTAATAGAAAAGTTAAACCAGTCTTGTTAGGATAAATATAAAAGTTTCCTTTAAACGCCCCATCCCCCAAGGCATTTTCCTAGAGGTTGTAAAGGTGAATTAACTGGTCTCTAAAAATAAGAATAATCGGAAAATCTACTCTAATAGATTGATTTTGTTCTATATTTTAATTTTGATTTCAATTTTATGTTTTAAACTGTAAAACCATTTAACAATTTATGAATACTCATATCCTTAATTATGTTTTTCATGGGAAAATAACATCATAGACAGTTGTCAAGGGGAATTTTTGAAAAATATATTTTCTGCTAATTTTTGCAGTTGTTAAACACGAACCCAGCGAGGAGACTGAAAGTTCTGAAGGTAATTCAGGATTTAGCAAGTTGCATGGAGGGTTGCATTTCTCTAGTGTTGATTTTTAGTTGCGTTTTTACACTTTTTTATTTTCATGATGGATTACAAGGAATGGAAATGCTTCATATTATAAAACATGAAAATGGCTTTAGTCATAGGGCTATTTTTCACATATCTGGCAATTGGCTCAGGCCTAATTTGTATCTTAGGTAATTAGTCCAGGCCAAGTTTTGACAGATTAGATAAGGCATTGCATATTTGTATAAAAAGTCTCGGTTTTAATGCATGAATTTAGTAGAAACGAATGTTATTCTTATTAAAGATGTGGTGCACATAGAGATCACAAATGAAAAAGACCAAATGTTTTCACCATATATTTTTGGTATACAGTAGTTATCATCTGAATTATTTACAAAGAGTGTTTGGATGCAAGTTTTGCATGATGTTCAAGTTGGCTGTAAACGCAGTGCTTTGTTTTCGTAGATTTAGTAGCTAGAATTGGCAGTTTGGTGCAGTATAAGAGCGAATTGTTTACAAGCACATGGTCATATGATTGACATTAACATATATACAATAAAACAGACAAAACCTCAACTTTGACAGATTTCCGATGATGGGAAAGCAATATTTATGCATCAGATGTCATCATTGGAAAATAATAGAATTTATTTGCTATGTAAATCAGGAATGGTACATTCACCCTACTTTGTGATATTTCTTATAAACTTGAGACAAGTCATCCAGGGCTGGGTGTACTCCAAGTTTACTTCCTACATAAGGTGACCTTTATACTGTGTTATATAGTCAGTAACATACTAGTGTACTAACTTATCTCATCTTCCCACAATGAAATTCAGGAATTTTCCCAGTTTACATAATTCACTTTCTTGATTAAATCCCTGGGTAGAAGCAGTTTATTTTTAATTATCCATGTTCCGGGTCCTTCTGCATTTTAAAGCCGTTAGGAAAATGAATATTATTAATTATCCATGTTTTCTGGCACATGTTTAACAATTTAACCCCTTAGTCTGTATTGGTATCGAAAGTGATCAGTTTTAGCCCTGGAAGGCAAGAATTCAAACTGGCAAGTGCCTAGTGGATTTCAAGTAAGCTTTGGTGGTCATAGTAATTGGCCAAATGCCTCAGTTCAATTTGTCTTAATTAGTTGTGTCAAAAGCAGCAAAAATCATTAGGTTGTCAGTTCCGTTTGAAATTTAATTTTCCATAATTATCTTGTTTTTTACTCTGAGAAATGGTAACTCATTTTTTGTGAAAATATTTAGACAGATAGTTCCCATCTCCGTCGGATTTAACTCAGATTTTCAACTCGAAATATTTTTGGGGGATTTGGCCATTATTTCGAAGTGCTAGAAAGCTGAGAAGAATTATAACGTAACTGTTTCTGTGTATTTTGTATAATTGAAAATGGCAGGGGGTATTTTTGGAGGTCTGAATGATGCATTTAATGGTGAATGTTGACGCAGGGTGTAAATGCCAACACCTCGCATGTGGCTCTCTGTGAAGTAACGTCACTCAACAAACTTAACTCTGTCATCTTTGACCTACCCCATGTAGAATATACAGTTTGTAGCTTTAAATATGTACAAGGCATGACCTAATGTAAAAGTTCATTAGGTTACATTTAGCCAAATTCATCATCTCCGGAAACTTTAAACTCATGCAAATCAACTCTGTTGTTTTAACAAACTTAAGAATATTTTTGATATTTTCTTCTGATTCTGATTGTTTAAGTTTTTTTAGATCTCATGAATATTCATTGTATTAACTGACATTTTATATCAATATTTTATAGCTACACAGATATACTTGATTTCAGATTCATTCAATTTTATTCATACTAGCTTTAAAATAGATAAATTAATTTTAATCGAAATAAGAAAAAAACAGAGAACATATTTCGTTTTGTTTGACTACCAATCAATTTACTGAATACAATGGCAACTTTCAAGAAATTTTAAAATATGGTTTGTAAAATACATTTTTTACAAATACATGCATCTGTTCCTATAAATATGCTTAGTTTAGTGTGAGCAAAAAAGTCACCGTGTATATTGTCTCCTGACCATTAAGTTTGCCTGTTTTGCAGAAAACCTAATAATGATCAATTTTAATGTCAGTTCATTATTAACCCATGGAAATTAGAAGATAATGAAATATTACTTGTAATTTCAAGGTATGAACCTTGGCAGCAATTTTGGTTTTTCAAAGGAATAGCGAAGACAGTAATGAATGTGCTAACTAATGGTTTAGTGGAGTTTGTGGAGTTGTGCATGGCTAGGAGTTAATTCTCAACTCTAATAGACACAAGGAGGTTTCTACAACATAGGTCCTGTCAGAATAAATCATTCGGTTATTTGTCATATTCACTACTTTTAACACACTACCCAAAATAATTCTCACTTTTTGCCTACATTTCAAAACTAACATTTGCTTAGAGTTAAACAAACGGAATATGTCTGAGAACAACTCAGTGAAGTGACATACATTGAAATACTTAAGTCAAAATAGTTAAATCAACAGTATGGAACATTGAGCAGGAAAAATTACAAACATTTTGTTTTGTTTTTTAGGAGACCAAATAAAGAACGGAGATCCCTATACAACCAGTCAATATTCCACAGCATACACTTATAACAGGTACGTCAAATATTATATTTTTGTTTACCAAATTATTTTCCCAATTAGACAAAATTAGAAAAATATTTTAGCTGTAGTAAAATATTATTTTAGTCACACCAAACATCTGTGGAAAGAATATTTAAAAAACTAATGATTGTATGCCCAGCCATTCCTGGACTGATATATAAAAATGTAAAACGTCTTTAAAAGGAAGGAAGTTTCAAGAGTGTTGATTTAAACAAGGTGTTTTTAAATTACATGCCGCATCATATTTATTCTCCAGAAATCAGGAGTTAATAGTGTCATAAATAACGTAGCGATCGCAGTTCAAATATTTAAAAAATTACCTTGTTATAATTGTCAAAGTGAAATACTTCTTTAGAGAGGTAATTATTGAGTTTCATTGTCCGTGACAGAGTTATGATGATTGTAGAAGAACTTTCCACTTTGGCTCATTAGTAAAGAATTATACGTCAATGAGAACAATATGTGTAAATAGACTGTTTGCTACTTTTGTTACACTTGTTTTAAAATCATAATTTTCTAGTTGAAACAATTGTCTCTGATGGGAGATAGTATCAATGTTTGGGCGTTGTTTTGTCTGCCGTGTACTTAAGTTGCCACCAGCTGTACAGTAAACTACCACTATCTTTCACAAATGCAATTGGAACTTAATCTCAGATAATTTTGGTTTTGATTTCAACTGTCATTTTTTAGTAAACAGCAAATTGCTGGCTTGTCAAGACAGTTGTCAAGTTTCCGATGTGTAATATGTCATTGATATATAATGATCGACATGACTTTTTTGGCTGTATACTGCTTATCTACGTATGTTCTATCATATGTGAAGCAATTTTGGCAGTTTTGGACAAAGACGCTATACTGTTTAAATCAAGCATATTATCATTTGATAAATAAAAATTTTACTTTTCACACCTTGTGACAATATAACAGTGGTTTGTGATGTTATCTATTTTAATAATTTTTTGGATGACAATAAGTTTAATGAATAATGCGGCGAGATGAAACGAGAGAAGAAAGACAACCTGTGATTTTAAAGTCATTTGATTCAGATCGGTGAATTCTTCACTGTACTTGAAACAAAAAAGACAATTCTTAAGTTTTTCATTCATCAGCATAACTAGAACGTGGCCTCGCATGAAAATAACCCTCCAGAAAAATGATTAAATGAAACGAAATGGGATTAGTAAATGAAAAGTGAAGTATTGCTCTCTCAGGATGTGTACGTTCATGTAGCTGGGTTGTAAAACATGTTATTAGACTGTGTGGATGATTGGGTAAACACAGTTATAGCGTGCTGGTCATAGCAACGTCACTACTTCAGCCGTGATTTTGCATTTACATGAAATATCCCCCACTTGGTAATTGAAGCAATGGGCTAATAGCATGAATTAATTAAGCAGGCTTTAAACAAGTTGATATGCAAACCCTAACAAGATATTCTAACTGCCATGTGCTCTTACAGATGTTTCAGAAAATAATCAAAACAGAATTCAGAGGTTTAAAATATGTGGGAAAATTAGGAATCAATGGTTTAGTGAAAGTGGCAGTGTAGTGTAAATGATTTGTAAGACATGTTTGCAACCTGGGCCCTTGTAGCCATAAAACAGTTTGTTGAGTTGCAATAATGATCATTTTATACTTTACACTGGCTGGAAAGAGATGAACAACAATGTATCCTGGGTTAAGATTTTTCAAAAGTTGCTACTATTTTCAAATGTTGGGTTTATGTGTATAATGGTGGTATTTTTCAAATTTAAAGGATCCATACTGTTGGTGCATTTTTAAAATGTTCAAATTAAATTTGTTAACTCTTTGATTTTAGAGAAGCTTCCACCTACTCACAAGTGAACCCGTCACCAACTAATCCCCTCCCCGGGTCACCCGAGGCTGTTACTACATCCGTTGCCACTAGCGACACAATGCAGGCTTACCCAGCTATGGCAGGGCAGGCGGGGCCTAGTGCCTTCCCTGGCATGCAGACTGCCGGCTACTTCGCTCAGGGCCAGGGAGCCTACGGGGTCTTACCCCAATCATACAGTATGCCAGAAAGTAAGTATATTCTACATACATCTAAATACACTCATACTGAAATAATAAAAATACATTTCCTAGATAATATGTGAACTCTGCTAGAAATCATAATAATATTTTCAGTTAAAAGCACAATGTATAATATGTTTTGTAATTAATTTGCTCCTAGTTGTTCAAATACAGTGCTCAATACATGATTACTAAAAAATCTATTTAATTTAGACTTGACATAATTATATAGATGTTCATTTTATTGCTATGGATTTTAATATGCCAGATAAATCGAAGTTTCAAACAAAAAAGCATTTGCATTAATTTTAATCAAATTCTGACAGGCTTATTATCCTGTAGCATAAAAAGTCATTATTGATTTGAATTAACCTTTTACTCGTGAATTTTATTTGTTTTCTCAGCCAATTTGAATAAAATAGATTTTATTAAATGCACATATTAATTAATACATTGCATGAAAGTTCAAAATGATGTAAAGGTTATATGATTAATTCTATTTAAATGAGGCAAAAGAAATATGATATCATAAAAATATTTTTAACCATTTTCTTTGACAAAAAGAATAAAATTTTATTTCAAATGTAATGTTATTTTACGTGGTATGTCTATTTCAGGTAAAATCAAACAACAGTCCAGTAGTCCTGTAGTTGGGGGTAGCTACTTACCTTACCCTGGCACAGGCTTTACCAATGCAGCTCAGACACAATACCCTTATGGTAAGTACCACCTTAATAGCCAACTACAGACCCAGATATACTCATAAGGCATTCAAGCTAAGGCCCCTTGTCTCATTCTAATTTGCTCTTGTCCCATTTTCCTCACCCAAATAGCTAAAAGAAACTTCAAATATATTTGATTTCTGGATAAAAAGTGTTAGGGTTTCCTTGTCTTCTGATTGTCTTCAGTGTGACCCCAAAACAAAAAATACCCTAAACGTGGAGAGACCTAATGACTACCTATAAACTGTACTAATGATCTAGTATGATCTAGGGAAGGCCTTATCTTTTTCATTTATTCATTTACCTTAACCTTTCCAGTCCTTTAAAGTTAATTAATAGATTTAAAAAAGCTTAAGTTCACTGCGAAGGTTAGTTCAATAATTATCAAGTGGCTTTTACATTAGAGGTGGAACACTTGAAGTGGACATCTAGTGGTTTAACTAGTGCCCATTTGTGTATTGTTCCCTTATCATCTTCAGACCTTTTACAGCAAATATGAACTTGTTTAACATGGAGTACCCTAACCTATACCACAAGTCTTCTTCAAACAAAACATTGTAAAAATTCAATTGTGAAATATCTCTTGTGGAACACTTTAGATGCAAAAACAGTCGTGGAAAGAAAAGGATCGGATTTTTGGATTAAAATCCCAAAATAGCAATAACTATAGGTTGAATTTAGATTTTTCATGATTGCTGTAACTATCGTATTTCTTCTGTTAATCTGAATTTGCGTGCTAGGAATCCAGAAATAAAAACATACTGATATTGAGCTGATTGTAGGGATTGTATTTAACCCAGGTAGTAATGATAAAATTGTCTCTTATGTGTGTGTAGTTGTGTGTGGTATAAGATTGATCAACATAGGAGAACCAGCGGATACTAATTTCTACCTTTTAGATATCGTATTGATCATGTAGGGTCCAAGGTCGAGGAAATTTAGCTCTGGTTCAAAAAAACGAAAAAAGAACTGGTTGATATTGAGTGGAATGTTTTGGGGGATTTTTATCACCCCCTGGTCCTTGGTTTAGACTAGTAGCTATTGGGGGTCTGCTGATTTGCCTAGAGCTATGAGATATCTTTGTCTTCCACAGATGCTTCTTGTTTATTCCCAGCTACAACCTGTATTCCCAGACTCATCTCACTTTGTTATAGTTCCTGCTAGAAAAACATGCCTCTTGATGGTCTAAATGTGTGATGTTTTCTACTGTTGAGCGTAATTGTTTATTTTTGGCCAGCCAAAGTGGATGTTGTGTTTTTGTGAGTGCCTGGTCTCTACACGATACCATGGTTAAATGGGAAACAAAACATAAGATGAAAGTTTACCCCCTCCCTGTCACCCAATGTTGTTTTAAGAGCTACGAGTAAAGTGCATTTTACCACAAAGTTCCAGCGTCAATTGGTACCAGATCTTAATATGGTGGGAACAGCGTTCACAGAAAATAGTCATCATGTAAATTTAATCCCCTCTCAAGTCTCCCGGTTCCTTCATTGCTTGTTATTTCTACTAGTGAAACGTTGGAATTAATTAAGGAATGTTCCCCAGGAAATGAACAGTTAAACCTCCACTGAGGAAAGGAGGAATTCACTGGGCTGACCTATAGATAGTCTCGCACTCATTAAAACTTGGTGCCCGGACAGCTTGGGGCAGCACTAGTTATATCTTACTGAATCTTTTTCCAACTGTGTTAAAACAGTGCTACCCGACTCTAATGATTTTTCTCTGTTTATTCACCTGCTTTTTGTTGAGCCTTTAGCTACAGAAAGTTGAGGATTCTACCTTGTTAGAGTTGTGTTTTCACAGGCTTTACTGTGTACCTGCAGCTTCAACACCTTTAATTGCTGAAAATGCTACAATTCTTCCGTTGGCTACTAGGCAAGCTAGTTTCATCAACATTTAATTTAGACTCCATGTGGTTCCCACCACAAATCTTGTCACCATGAGATTCAATTTTCACAATTCGATCAGTTTACCACGGACAAGTTTGTTTTTTAACATTCAGTAAGTTGCTTTTAGGCTAGACTGTGCCAAATTCCTTGTTTTTATAACAGAAATATATATCCCCTGACACAAGTTTTTTCTTGTTTCAATGATATATGGCTCTTAAAGTAACATGTCTTACTACAAAAATACCATGGCAAAAATTCTTGTCATTCCCAAATAACTTTAGCTTGGAAATGATACAACCACTCTATACTTAACTGAATAAAATCAAAAATTCCACATATAAGAAATTTTACATTCATTTACAAAATGTTAATGATAAATATATTTTATATGAAAGTTATTATGTAATAAAGAATAAAAATAATATAATATTGAAATGTATGTAATTTGGACCGTTTATATGCTGTTTCCTGTAACCCCTTATTGATTCTTTAGTAAAATGTTTTTTGTTATGTTTGTAGGTACTGGGTTTACAACTTCTAATACAGCTACCAGTACAACATGTTATAACTCACAGACACCCTCTGAAACTGTAAGTTGGAAAATATTATTCAATGTAAAAATCTTTTCAGATATTTTTATATTGTTTGAACTCTAGATTTGAAGTATGTTGAATTCAGGCCCTTCACGATTTATGTGTATCGTATATGATATAATTTATAGATGAATGAGTATTAGAAATTAATAAAATTGTTGATTGTTTTACAGAGTGGGCTAGATTACAGTGCGTACTCGAGTGCATACACTAGTCAAACTCCTGTAGGGTCATATCCTTACCCCTACCAGGGTTACAGCCCTTACATGGCCACTACTGGGGCCACAACCCTCGGGATTAGTTCCTCAACTACAGTGCCTTCCACCCAAACATATCAACTTCATGACCTCCCACCGGCACAAACAGGTACTCCATCTATCAGTAAGTAGATCCATGTAGTATATAGTACCCCTAGTCTTAAGGCAGTGTCTGGCTTCCCTATTTCACACACAACAAGCAATCAAAACCTGCTGCATTGAAATTACGCTTACTGTAGAAAATCACAAATTTCACTTTTAGCTTGACATTTGAATATTGTTGAACAAAAGTTGGAGCAATTTAGACTTCAGAATTTGTAGCTAAGGGTAGACACTGTTTTTAAAATAGGTTTTCTTTATTTATTGTATAGCATGCTTTATTACCTTAATAGTAATTTCTGTAGTCTTAAAGCAAATCAGCACTTAGGTAAATGTAGCTATTCCTAATCATTGTTAAGTACTGTGTATGTGTAGATGTTGTAAGAAATATATTTACAAAATGTTCAACAAAAGGTTTAGTGTTTGCTATGTAAGCTATATATTCTCAATAATGCATTGATTTTTTGCCTTAGCCTTGGCTAAATATGAGTGAATAGATAATGTACATCCTTTCCATATTCAAAATGACTCATCTTTTTTCAAAGTTTTTTGACTCATAAATGACTCATTGTATTTTTTACGAAAGATGCAATGTATATGAAGCCTGAAAATTAAGACAAAAAATCATATCACTGTTGCGTGAAAAGATAAAAAAATGCTCAATAAAAAGTATATGTAAAACATAATCCATTACTTGATTGATCAGCCTTTGTTCTATGATAATACGATGGCTTTACATGTTTGATAATGTTTGTATTAATTGTATTTGATAATGTTTATAATTGTATTTGCTCTTTGCAGTACCAGAGAGCAACCAGATGATTTCCAGTCCCTCCCCACCTTTGAAGTTAGAAGCTAACGGTAATTGTAGTGATTCAGATACACAAGGTGGGTGTGGAATGGTTTGATATGAAATATGAAATAATATCACGGACCAATTTCTTGAGATTTGATAAGGATTACCTCTTACTTTGCACTTGTGGTTTACCATTTTTCATGTACTTTTGATTGGTATAAGTCCACAGTTTGTGCCTATTTAATGACTATACTTTTCATTTGACATTTAAGAGTTAAGAATGGGCGTTTTATTTTTTGTCTAGTTCAGTATTACTGGGGTTTACACATTTGTTAGGCTCTTCTTACCGATCAAGCTGCTGTATCTTGTATCTTCAGTTTGAAATTGGTCCATGTATATGAACACTAAAATAATAAAACACAAACTAAACAGGATTCAACATTGAAGCATGCATTTAAAAAGTCAAATTGGTACTTCAACTACTTATTTTGAATTAACTATTAATTTTTCTAACTATATAAATGTATTTGGTGAAAGTGAAAAAGCATTGATGCATGCTCCAATATATCTTCAAACATAACCATTCCAAATCCAGTTTGACTTTAATATTAATTTTGTTGTTTTAATCTTTAGTCAGAACAAAAGTATGGTTTGTCAAGTTGTATCTTTTCTTGTTTATTTTTTTGCCATTTGTTTATTTACTTTTTCTAATTACCTTTTACTTTGATGAACAACATAACAAAATGTAACATTTCTAATATTTCCAAACCCTGTAACAATGTATGTGTCCTGGTTTAATTCCAATGCTATGAGATCAGTGATAGTTTACCAGTTCGTTTTCCTCTGCCGTTACTTACAAAAAAGTTACAAGTGAATTAGCTGTAGGAACCGGCATGAACCTGGATACCACAGGCGTAGTGCCGTATGGAACTGTTAGTTATTTGCGAACCCGAAACCGTGGATGGGGCAGTATAAATAATCTATCAGATCAATTTTCTAGCTAACCTAACTGGGTTACTTAGGAATTCTTAGGAATTCACAATTCTGTGGTATCAAAACAGTGTAGTCATTCCTACATACCCAAAGGCATTATACATCTTCTTGGTTGGATGCTGCATATGTATATGTACAGTCCTTAATGACATCCAAACTGAAATCATTTCGGATTATTTTCACGAGGCTGTGTTTTACAGGAGCATTTGATAAAAAGCCATTAGCAGTAATACTAATGAGTTCTAGATGAGAATTGGGAAGTTTTGGTTAATAATATTTAGCATAGGCTGAATAAATTCCTGTGATATATCACAATTATCCTATAAGATAAGTGGGATTGTCTTAAATGTCAAGGCTGAATTTGAGTTAACTCACCTATAATGAACCACGGACATCGTATTATTTGCCAACAGAATTCATTTCTTTTGCATGTGGTTATTACTTGCTGACATGAACAGTGCTATAATTACTTTTTTATTTTAAATTAATTTGATCTTACTAGACTCAATGTTACGGGATACACAATTTGAATGTTACATTTTGTTGTCTGTTGAAAAAATTCACTTCAAGCAAGTTAATTGAATTTTTTTAAACTCTTTCTGCAGTCATTTTTTGGTCAGGATATGTAACATATTTTGGCTTGGTTGAGAGAAATACCTCATATTGCTGGAAAAACCTTGTGTATTATTTTAACTAAAAATTATGAAAATAATATGCAACTATGACAATAGGTAATACATAAATTACATGATGCTTTGGGCTTGATACATAAATTATTATGAGTTGTATCAATTTTCAGGTCGGGGAACTAGAAACAGAGGACGCAGACAGAATAACCCATCCCCAGGGCCAGAGAATGATCTAGAACGTGTGTTTGTATGGGATTTAGACGAAACAATCATCATCTTTCATTCACTACTCACTGGCGCATATTCACAGAGATACGGCAAGGTAAGCATTCCTGTTTTCCCTCTCCCACTGCTACATGATTCTTTGTAAGACTCTTAGATGCCACAAAATTGTCAAATGATCAATATCTGCCAAGGTATTGGAAATATCTGGGTATGATGCAAGTTTATCAAATAAAAATAGAGCTTGTACTGGTTCAAGTGATAAAATGGAGGGAGATTTTATTAATATAGGAGGATGTAAGATGCAGAGAATGAGTCATATGCACCTTCCCTGCTAGACACATCACCCCCTTCCCTTATACATGACAGTGTATGGCATATGGCATCATACTTCCTACTATGTGTGACATAATCACTTTCTCTGTGTGACATCATACTTAATGTGACATCATAATCCCACTGTGTGTGAAATAATCCCCTGCTTCATGAGTAACATCATCAAATTGCTTGGCGTGTGACTTTGCCAATTTCTACTGAGTCTATTTTCTTGCATATTCATACAGAACCTGTATTTTCATGGATATAAAAGCCTGGGTTTTGGTATGTACTGTTTATTATTCAGTAATCCAGGAAATGTTGATTGTTATTCATAGGGCTAAGTGAGTTGTCTCACACCCAGGGAAATCTTTCAATTATCTCTATGTGATTATAGAGTGAGGTCCATATGTAATAGTTGTAGGTTAGCAAATCATCAGGCATTTAACATTACATAGTCTAACATGGCGGGGTAGAAGGGGGTGTAATGACAGGTGTTAAAGCCCTTTGCTAGATATGCCAGCCAGTCAGACTTTATTTTACAATAGAGTCAGGCCATATTTCAATAAATAGCGTGATAAGGTTAAGTTAGCAACATACAATAGAAAAAAACATGTGGTGGATCTTCAACAATATTAAGAATCGAGTTTAATTTGATATGTCCCAACAATTCTGAGAAATACTTTGGTGATATTCTGCAAGGCTGTTATATAACTCTTAGAAGCTGAAGTTGTAGCTAGCTCTGTTCAAATTGCGGTAGAAATCACTTGGCATTGTGTCACTTCAAGTCTCCCAAACAAAGCCACATGTTGAGAGTTCATTTTGTCTATTTCTCCACCAAATTAAGTAAAGTCTAAGGTCTCACTGGCACATAGATTTGTCAAATTATGTGGCAGCACCTAGTTGGTGTTTGCCATATCAGTGGTTTGGCCTTCATTGTGATGTCATAGAAAATAGATTGATCATACTTACTCCCCTGCCACAGACACTGGGGATTCAGTATTGCAATGAATGGTTGGTCTGTTCATTTTTTTCTCCTTGTTTCCTAGTTGTAAAAGTTAAAAATGGCTCGCTGTATTTCACAGTGATTTCACACCCCATTTCCCTTGATCTCCCAGTCTACTGACAGAGGGCATGTTGCTTTATTTATGTAAGCAGAAAACTAGAAAAACACTCAACTTCCAGGTCCATTTGTCTTATCCTAGCATGTAGAATAGTGGAAAGCATTCATAATTTATTGTTGTGTTAAAAGTGGTTTGGGCAAATCATAATATTTTGTTACCAAACCAAACTATGGTTGTTGTTGATAATTGGTTGACGTGTAAATTGGTTGAGGTGTAAATTGCTTTTAGATTTCCTTCTGAGAAATTTTGATGTAATCTCTTATAAACAGAAACTCCTAATAATAAAAAAATTCTTAGAAAGCACAACAAAGATAAATTAAAGATCATATTTTAAAACCTGAGGTGTCTAACGACACAAGTGATCATATTTACACTGTTTTCATTCTTAGTTATAAGACCCTGAGCTCCTACGCTTTCATTTTAATGTGAATGTGCAACTGAAACTCACTTCTCATTGTCTTTATTCTCGAAAAGTACTTGGGTTTATCAAAACCTAAAACCTTAATTATAGATAAATGATTCAAGTCCTACATTATGACTTACCACATTGCGTCTTGCGGTTTTTATCTAAGAAGCATATCCAATCGTAGCGTATATGGTAAGTCAAGTATTTAATTTTTACAATGAGGGATTTAAGTTACACGTCTTGTTAAGGTCCAAAAATAAAAATTTCCATTCTCATTTTCTAATTATATCTTTGTTTTCTTTGATGTGTAGGATTTATACTGAAGACAGACATGGGTCAGAGAGAAACTTCAGGGAGGGAACATCATAAACTTTTTTTAATGTGTTATCTTTAATTAGCCAAAGTGCTAAATCTTCACTCTCTTTATAACTCTCACAGCCCATTAGGACGAAAAAAGTCTATTTTTTTCTTGAAATTTAAAATTCAAAAGTTATTAGTGTATTATGTATGTTAAACCTAGAGCTTGAGGATTTGTGGAATTTAAGACGGAAATAAGTGCACTGTGAAATAAGTGCACTGTGAAATAAGTGCACCTTTCTTAATGTGTTTATTACTGTTGTGTGAGGCCAGTGGGATGGTAAGGAATTCACTGAAAATAACATTTATTTACTATGTTTCATAGGGCCCCATTAATATGTAGTAATTAAGATTTAAGACCACAACTTGATGAGACTGGGCAGGTGGAAAGGAACTTGTAAACACCCTTGCGAGATATGATGTTTGACCGACCCATATTTTGTGAACAGTCAGATAGCTTCACTTTTCAGCACTAGGAATTATGAATTGTTTTGTGTGGTTTATTCTAAGGTTCTGTATATCATTATTATGTCATATGAGATTAATATATATATATATATATATACATCAAGGAGAAGTTAGTGTGTTATATGAGATGTTTTGAAAAAAGTATATTATTTGGTGTGGAACATCATAGATTATAGCATGGAGTACAAAGAATGGACTTGCCAGTTAATTTGAATGGTGTGAAGCGTTTGGACAACGTCAAAATAACACATTTCAGTTATGGTCTAAAAACAAAAGGTTGCAATTAATAATTTAATTTGGTTGACAGTTTTTAGCTGATTCATGTTGTTGTGTCAGATAGAGAGATAAGGGTTAATGTTTCTTGATAAGGGTTAATGGTTTATCAAAGCACTAACTGATTACAGAGAGCATAGTAAGGAGAACAGACATGATTGTTGACAGGTTCTAACTCATAAAATCCAGAATAAATGTAGTCACCCTTGCTTTATTTCCTGGAATAACCATGGAGAATAGATTTAAAATATTCCATCTCTGGCTTCAAGCTCTGTATTTAGGTTAAATCATGATAGGGTTAAATTTAGTTTTTGGAGGTTTTCTAGGAAGAGTTGCTGTAGACTCTTGACGAGAGCTTACAAGGGTGTGTATGAAAACATTGCCATTGACCCATGAGATGAAGTGTTTACTGCAACAGCTTACAGACACCTCTTGTAGCCTGCATCCACTGACAAACTTTTCTGGCTGACTTTGATTAATTTTTATTTGACCTTTTTGAACTTTTAACTCGGTTGGACTTATTTCTCCCAAAGGGGTCTGGGTTAAGGAAGGGCGCAGTTTGTTTTATTATTTTAGGATGCCTCTAGAAGTATTAATATTATATGTTCCATATTGCAGTTGGTTCTTAAGTTCATATTTATTATGCAAGATGTTTTTGGTCTCATTTCCAGGTGATTTCTATCTCAGAAAGTGTCAGTGTTGTCATGCAAGCTTTCATAATGATTCCTTAGAGACCACCAGCTTATCACCATGGCAACAATGAAAAGCATTAACCACCAGATTATCTTTGCTGCCATGGTTACCATGACAGGAATCAACCACTAGATTATCTTAATTGATATCTTAATTGTCTAAGGTCCCAGACTTTTTGGGGGTGCTGTCCCTTCCCACAACCTGTTTCAGGGTCGGTTTTCTGTACCATAGGCTTCCATCTAGTCAGTGTATAGCCTCAGATTAGTTGTTATTATTAGGACGTGGTGTTAAGATATACAAATAATTAGCTGAATGTTTTATTTATTTTCTTCATCTGGAATATGGCATGTGGTTGATGAAAAGTTTATAGGTAACTCAACCAAACAGATCCCAATTAAATAGGAGGATTTATCACTAGTACTGCAGTATATTCCACATAGTCCTGTTACCATTTTACCAAATTGTTATTTTACCAAATAAAAGAAAGAAAATGCGATGATTTTTAAACAAAGTGAATGACATGCAAAGTGTTTAAATAAAAGATTTACATTGTTGAAAGGTTTCCAGAACCTTATTGAAGGCAGAATCTATACAGTGTAGGTGTTTTCAAAACAATTAAGCTCAGTTCTGTTTTCTGCATTCCTTAGACAGTTATGTTGCTATAACTTCTCATCTCTTCAGGGTTTCCATATAATCAGCCACAGACCTGTGTTTTTTCAATAAGCTTTCCATTATTCATTTTTGAAACATTTTCGCCCTTCTTGGTTATTTTGGATTGATTGTGCTTCAAGTGATTTATTTATGAGATGTTGAAACATTGAATTGTTGAGTAAATATTTAGTGTCTGTTGGTCTGCTTAATAACATTTAGAACAAGAGACTTAGTTAAATGGTGAAATAAATTATTGAAAACTGACTTTGAAATTCCATATTTTTATGGAAAGAGAGTTGAAAAAATAAAATTTTCAGATTGAGATTTTTTTTAAGAATATCATGAAAGTTTGTTATTTTGACAATTTTATTAATTATTTAGAATAGCCATATGGTTGTAACTGGTTGAGTGACAGCTCAGTCTAAAACCAGACTCGGCTTAATTTGTTTCAATAAACACGAGGGGACTGCTAATTGATCTTTCATTGCCAGAATTGCAGAGAATTTAAGACATGCTAATATAAACTTCTCCAGATTTGCCCCGTTAGGCACACTTACCTAGACAAACATTAATTTTTGTTGCAATATTTTACCACATGGTCATTATTCTTATCACGGTGAAAAACTAATCTACAGAGTGGTGTGTTGATGGATAAACACCATTGCCCCATCAAATATTCATAGACTGACTATGAAGCCTGGAAATCACATTAGATTGTTGAGAATCTAATAAAATACACGTTCTTATTAAAAGTGTTGAAAGCCACACTCATAGCTCAATTTGACTTTATGAGGGCTGGATTTTTTTGTGAAGTCATTCTTCAGAAAAATCTCAAGTATAAAAAACAAATCAACATGAAAATTCTTACTTCTGAAAAGATCATAAATGTATTTTTCAAACAGGAGAAATTTTGAAAAATATTGAACAAAAAGTTTGTAAATTAGAATGGATGGCTTCATGTGGAGTGATAGATCCCAGATGTTGTATGGAAAAGATAACAGGTTAGGGCCTCATAAAGACACAACGCTTATCTTTATTCAATTCAAGCTTTCTCTGGGAAAAACCTATAACAACATCAAATGAATTAAAATGTTATCAGTTTGATGTAGCATGTAGTTTACTGCATTCCGGGTGTGTTTAAGTTTCACGCTTTCTTCAACAAACCCATATTACTACTCAATGATTGTAAAATTTATTTTTGGCTATATGTAGAATTAGAGCTTAAATAAATTTGAGGTTTGTAGGAAGACTTGTAATTAAGAAATATAGACCGAAGAGCAGGGGTAATATTGTTGAATACACCCCACAGGGCTGGGCACAACCGTTTTCTGTATAACACCTACTCTGAGGTCTATATTACGATTCGAACATGAATACACACCAAAATGTTTCGAATATTCATTATGGTCCGCCATTACTACGGTCCGCCGTTATGACGTCACACATTACACATATTTCCAGGGGCAATATTCACAAATATACCCCGGGTGAAATGTTGACTTTGTTTACAGTTTATAAAAGGCGTGAATACAGTCATGTTTGAATTAAGTATCAATGTTTTTATTCAGAAAATTACATTGGAAAATACATGTTGTGAACTTAAATAATTATACTTATTTATGAGAAAATTGTTTGACAGTATTTTTCAAAATCGTTGTTATTTTGGATGAATAAAGTTTCCAACTAATAGAATATGTTTTGATTAGAGACAGCTCAGTTCATCTGTAAATGTTATGACAAATGAAGTGTTTAACTATGAGCAATTAATTAAGTCTCACTGGTGTCCCAATGGGAATATAGGATTGCCAGTTCTCTAGCAACCACAGTGGAGAATAGATCATTGTCAGGAACAACGCTCACACTCTCTGTGACATTGCAAATCTGCTTATATGGTCATTTTATTTCAACTGTGGATATATTGGATCATCAATTCCATTTTAGTCTACTGGGTCATATTATTTTATTTGAGTGAAAAATCCAGGATAATGTGGTATTTTAAGCTAGTCGCCCATAAGTGAAGATATTTTGTTAAGGTGATTGACTTAACAGAATCAGTATGGACCCTGTAAGCCAAAAGGAATAACACAACTCTGATTCCTATGTAATGTACATAAAGTTGTATTACTTAATTTTGTATACGGTAGTGGAAAAGTGTTTAAAAACCAAATATTGCAGTAAATTATGTTTGTGTTACCAATATAAAGCTATAAAGCCAATTTTAGTTGGTAATATTCTTAGAATTGAGAATGATATGATAATACAGAGACATACATTTATTTTTGCAGGGTTTTAGAATAATAAAATAACACATCAATATAATCCGACATTATTCTTCTGTATGGAATATTCCGCAAGCTAAATAAATTATGTTTTTCTTGTGGCGTCAGAAATGCTGAGTCTTGTAAACCGTTGCTGCCTCTAAATCGATCCCTCTATAGCTTTTCAATGTTTACACAGCGTTTCTTGCTCTAAAAAGTCACTATATTACTTTGAAGTCAGTTAAACTGAACACAAAGGTCTAAGTTATGAGACCTTATGGTCAAGGTATAGATTAGGGCTTAACATATTTAAGTATTTTACAGGATTTTGAGTTACATATTAGGAAAGTTGTCATAATTTCTATTCTGTTTTATTTATTTTGATTAAATTATACATATTGAAACAGATTATTCTCTTTTTAGTATCTTTTGAGTTTTGACATAATTCTTGTTATACAGCTACATGGAAAAAATATACATTTCAATTATAATATTGTGTTTGCAGATGTTTTACTTCAAATTCAAAGCAATTTCCTATTTTGTATAAGACTGAAAGATCTAATTCAATTTAAAATATGATATACAGACATAATAAATATAGGAATATTAATATTCATGTCTTGGAATAGCATCAGGTTTTATTTTATCATGAAATTTCCATGCTTGGAAATACAAGATTAGGTTCTTTGGGATGAGCATTATCCATTGTGTTACGACATCAACTTGTTCTATGAGCATTTAAATTCAGGTCAGGTCTGGGACTGATGTTGGAGAATTAACCCCCAAGCAATATGATAGGATGGTGATTACAAATTGTCAATCAGCCAGAATTGCCAGAATTCCCTAAACTTTTCCCCAATTAAATGTATTATTAAGATTATTTAAAGATATGTCAGGATGGGGTCTTATTTGATCATCTGATTAATTAAACTATGATTTGATTATTGTTGTAATTTATTTCATTAGTGGCTGTCAAATTACGACGTATTGCTTGCTCTGATGCAATTTAAACTAAGATGTAAGATCCGAGCCTGTCAAAGGGAGACATACATTTCCTGATGACATGTCAAACAGGCTATCTTCATAGGGTGGTCTAAAATAATTGACTCATTCATATATATGTATTAATATTTTTATTAGATGCTATAGTACTTCCATGATTGTGTTATGAATGCTTTGCTAATACCTGATTTTTTCTTATATCTCTAGACATTAAGAGTGCTCTTAATAATTTACTTTATAATATTATTTGATTTCTTTAATTTATAATTTCTTTGACGAAGAACTCATCTATATCAATGCATTTGAATATAAATAGAAAATTAATCCACAAATTATTGATACAAAGAAATAACAAAGCTTGTATTTTATTTTTGTAGGACCCACCCTCAGCAGTATCACTGGGTTTACGGATGGAGGAGATGATATTTAACTTAGCAGACACTCATTTATTCTTTAATGATTTAGAGGTAATGTTTCTAAACTATTTTTCTCAATTATAAAAAATTATATCTAATTTTTCTCCATATTTCACAGATATTCTTCTTTTTCTTATCCAATGAAAATTAGTTTTGTTTTTCAAAATACCCTCTGTAATTTAAAGAAATGGACAGTGCTTTTCAGGAGATATTCTAAAAATGTTTGTAACTATTGTATGGCAATGGTATTTATTTGAATATCTGAAATTCTAAACTGCTAGAAGTCTTACTAGAAAATTGAAGATAATAATATTTTTTAAACTGATGAAAAATATTGTATTTTTACATTTTAGTAATTTTTAAATTCCTCAAAAATTATGTGAATCAAGCAGTTTGGTTGCATGAAATAATATGTTTGAAATTTGAAGATATCTATTTATTTTGATGGATTAAGAATTAATCCAAACTATTATAATGTCAAATCAGAGTTAAAGGCTTTAATCAATTACTCCTTTAGCAAGATATCATCCTGGTAATTTGAAATATTAGTTTTAAAATCTCATATTGCTTTAATGGTAAGATATTGACAAATGGAACAGTTTCAACATAGAAGTGAATGATTGAAAAATATAACGTTGAGATTTTAACATGTGCTGGGATGTTTACATACTGGCGCCTCCAAGTCTACAAAGCATATAGCTCCACCTACCCGTATTCTGGCGATGTTTGCTTCTAAACATTGCCATGTTTAGAAAGCAGAATTTGCCAAAGTCTCAGGTCATAAGGTCGCATTTTGAAGCTTTGTTGGATCTTGGAGTCAGCATGTTATAAGTCTTTGACAACAAAACTACACGGTGGCTGAATTATCCCTTGTTAAGCTAAAACATATGCATACAATTGACTTTACTGAATACACAGTATCTTTGTTAAACACAAGTTATAATATTTACTATTACTTTTGTCAATAGATTTGCCAAGATACTCAGTTTAAAAGGACTCTTAAAAAGACAAATAATCACCACCGAGTGGTTATTATAGCCCTGTATTCTAAATTCATTATTTGTATGAGACAAGAACTCTCAAAAATCTCAAGCATTATATCATTTTCATCAGCGGTATGCTATTAAAACTATTGTGCAAACCTAACTTGTTATCTGACCAAAATATAATTGTGCTCTAATAAAAAACACTACTTTGATAATTGATCAATAATATGGCTGGAAGTTTTTATTTTCAAATGAAATGTTTTTGACAAGTTAAGAATGATTAGGTTTTGGGTCTACATTGTGCTGGAGAATCTTGTTGCAGATACACAATTTTGTTTGACAGCTAGAATGGGAATATCTAGCAGATGCGTTAAGCTGAATGTTGATACATTCTTTTGAGTAGAAACAAATCTACTTCAGTTATCCATACAGGTGGAACACAAAATCCACATTGCCCCTAATTGTATCAGATTGTATCATCAAATACTCAGAGAATTCTAGCCGCAAGATATACTTCACTCCAGAGTAAAAAGGAAACATCAGATTCCCTGCTTTTATAGGTCTGATTGAAGGGATAAAAATAAAAACAGAACGTGTATCAGGGCTCGAATCGGCGCTCCGTACTAGACCTCTTAGAAACACTTCAATCGTGGCTGATCAGATTTCTCAAAATATAACTTAGTCACTTGTAAATGAAAGTCTGGCTCTCAGGAGGGGGTATCTTTGTATATTTTTACTCCACTCCCTTTTATAAACAAATCGGAATTTTGGGGAATATTTGAAGAATATTTCTCATGTGTGTTGTATTTTGTTTTACAGGAATGTGATCAGGTACACATAGATGATGTATCATCAGATGATAATGGCCAGGATCTAAGGTACACATCTTTTTCATATGATTAATAATTATTTTTATGTTTATTAAAAAATTCCTACATAATTGGATGAAATTGATAACTAAAATTAATTAAATGATTCTATCAGCCGTAAAAACAGGTTTACATATAAGTTCCATTGTAATAGTTTTAGGGTATTGTTTTAAAAAACAGTTTATCTTGAAGACTATTTGCTTTAATCGGCTACTTATCATTGTATATAGAAGACAGGTTTAAGTCCTAATTAGGGTGGTAATGATTTAATGTAGATACTGTTTAAGCAATAACATTGTTACATAAGTAGATAAATACACTTGAGAAATTTCCCTAGGGTTGCGAATCCTGCAGGCCAAACAGTACAATGTTATGCTAATTTTGTTAGCCTGATAGTGGCTTGACTGGAGACCTTGTATTATTCTTCAGAATTAATCAGGCTTGTGATTTGTTTGGATGACCAACTTTTACTTGATAGAATTAGATTGATTTTTTTTCAAACTATATTCTGATTGATTTTAACGCATTCCATGTGTGTGTGAATAAACATTCAAAAAGGAGTCACAACATTTTGCAATATTGAAAAAGATTATTTATTTAAACTTTGAACTTTATAGAGAAGTCTCACATTAAACCAATACTGCCCTAGAATTTAACATGGCCTTCTTTTAACTATTTGTACAAGTTTAAAGATGATCATCAATGTATTGTAACAGTCCCGTCATCATGCTCTGTGTTTTATGATAACTTTAATATTTTCCTCTTTTTTTATAGTAATTATAATTTCCAAACTGATGGCTTTCATGCCGCTGCTACAAATGCCAATCTTTGCCTCGCCACTGGAGTTCGAGGGGGAGTCGACTGGATGAGAAAATTGGCTTTTAGGTATAGACGCATAAAAGAAATGCACAATAGTTATAGGAATAATGTCGGAGGTAAGTTTTACTCACTAGGTGTCACTATCATCTAGTAGAAATTTTCTCTGGAATTTATTTTGAAAATAAACAAAAAAACAATATCTTAGATGATTTTTTTAAAAATACTTTTCATAAATTGATTGGTCCAACAACAATGTGTGCAACGATGTCATTGTAATATTAAAAGGTTTAGTGCCACCCAATATTTTTGCTCAATATTTTTCCTTAAAGTAAAAGAATTTTTTTCTGTATGCTTTTCATCTTCCTATATCAGATTTATTCAGTGCACATAGTCTCACAATCATTCTAGCAAAGGAGGAGGGAAGTTAGTGCAACAGATTTTGGACAGTCATATGTTTGATTTTGGCCATTTCCTGGGGATTTAAACAGGTGCATATGTTAGGCGAATGCATTACCTCCAGGAAAATCACTTCTAGAGATGATAAAATAATTTTGACTTTGAGACAGGGTAGATGCAAACAACCCACCCACATGTTTTTTCTGAAACGTTTTCCTGATTTTCAACCCCTTCCATCCCTGCTTTTTTAATTTTTCTTGCATCAATATGTTGCATTTTGACACACAGTTAATCCCTTAAAAGGAATAAATGATTCCTTTTAGATAAAGTGGAAAACAATATTTCCCATGTTATTTTCCCATAGGAAAAATCATTGCTTTCAGCTAAGTTTGGTCACCCATAATAGGTATCTTTAAAACCCCTGAAGGAATCACTTATTCCTTTAAAGTGGTTAACTATGTGTCAAAATGCAACATATTGATGCAAGAAAAATTGAAAAAGCAGGGGTGGAAGGGGTCGAAAATTAGGAAAACATTTCAGAAAAAACATGTGGGTGGGTTGTTTGCATCTACCCTGTCTCAAAGTCGAAATTATTTTATCATCTCTAGAAGTGAATTTCCTGGAGGTAATGCATTGGCCTAACATATGCAATTGTTTAAATCCTCAGAAAATGGCCAAAATCCAAAATATGACTGTCCAAAATCTGTTGCACTAATTTCCCTCCTCCTTTGTTTATTATGTACTCAAAAGTTACAACAGTTCATTTTGTACATAACAATACTTAACATGCAAAAACTAAGAAAGTGAAGAAGAAATGGCAATCTTTGAAAAAATATGGGTTAATCACCTCATTCATAATTGAGATGTTATTATCTATAAATTTTTTATTGCAGGTTTATTAGGTGTCCAGAAACGAGAGGCCTGGCTTCAACTGCGCTCTGAGATAGAAGCTCTTACAGACTCATGGCTTACTCTAGCCCTCAAATCTCTGAACATTATAAACTCAAGGTAATTACAGTGGAACAGTCATCGAACATTGTATACTCAATGTAAATACAAATACGGTCTCTGGACATCATATGCTCAATAAAAGTTTCTGATCATTATAAATTCAAGATAAGTACACTAAGGGGCGGGGTCAAAATATCGATGTTCATATGGAGACGAAAGTACTTTCGCGAGGGGGAGGGGGTTTTTGGGCACTTTCGTTGACCAAAAAAACATCGATAATTCGGATCTGATATACAAAAAATAATTGGACTTACCCACTTTTTTGGCGCTATGTTCTGATAAAAAGGCTTGTTTTCAATAGTTCGTGAGCTTTTTGTGTGATAGGTCCAAAATATCGGTAGATAAAGACGATAATTCGATCATTTTTCAAATAAATTCCTTACTTTTCCCTCCTCCTTTTGAAGAGTTCAATGCAGTTAAATTGCGAACGTGTGTTAATTCACCGTAATAATAACCCGGCAAATAGGATACGATTATTAATCAATGTTTTTTTAAGTGACCTAAGCTTTCGTCTAGAGGGGGGGTGGGGGGGTTGTTGTCCAAACGAAATTACTTTCGTCTCCATATGAACATTGATATTTTGACCCCGCCCCTAAAACAGATTCTGAACATTTTTAACTCAAGGAAAATTCTAATTTAAGTCTCTGAATATTTTAGAATCAAGAATTATTATTGATTATTAAATTGTTTATGGAAAATCTCCTTTTCATGTCACCAATAAAAAAATTGACATATTACCATTATTGTAACATAGTAATCAGAGATCGGTGTCAACATTTGCTATCAGTGTTTTGTGGTAGGTATGTTACAAATCGTTACACATTTGTCACTATTTCGCAAATAACTCACTAAATAGTGACATTTGTCATATAATGCTTTATATATTACAATATAAAAAATTAATTCATAGTTCATTATTTTTCAGGTCAAATTGTGTGAATGTGCTAGTCACGACGACCCAGCTGGTCCCAGCCCTGGCCAAGGTTCTGCTATATGGACTAGGGGGTGTATTCAACATAGAAAATGTCTATAGTGCAAATAAAATAGGTTAGTTCTCCAACATTCCTTATTCTAAATTGGTTATAGCAGGGGGAAGAAGGAGGTACGGATTCTGAACACCTGCTTAGGAGGATGGTTCTACAACATTCCTCTAGTGGGTCATATTCAATTTTGAGAAATTAATTTATTTATTTGAATTGCTACCTTCTGAAACACAATTTAATCTCATCATATGACTGCAATTATTATGTGTGATGGTTTCTAATTCAGATGTTCTCGGGTGATATTTCAATCAAAAAGCATTACGTTTCAATTAATTCATACCAAGGTATCACATGTTAAAAATAGTAATTGTTGTAATTGTTATTAGAGTCATGTCAAAATTGCTTCCTATATAACGAGACATGTTACGAACACTTAATTCAGTAATGCGTAATGCAGAATAAATATCGCTTACCTCTTACAAGAGCTTAGCTTCATCTAAATATAATTCTTCTTACTTCATTTGATATCATTTTCTAATCTAGGCATAAACAGGAAGTTAAAAATCACAGCACATTGTTTTCTGCCTATATGCAGCTAACATTCATTTTAGAATCAAAAATCCCATTATATATATAATGAATGCTTCATTTGAGACTGGTAAGATCTGATCAGCATAAAAACTAAAATATCATGATATCATGATTCCAGAATAATTGTAAAAAGTAATGAGGCTATTTGATACGGATTTGAGTTTCATATCATTCAACTCATCCATTTGTGTGCAGTTTGAATATCTACACTATTTTTCATTCATTTTGTATTTTTGCAGGAAAAGAGAGTTGTTTTGAGCGAATAGTATCGCGGTTTGGACGCAAATGTACATATGTAGTGATAGGAGATGGGAGAGATGAGGAGGTGGCTTCTAAACAGGTGAATATTTGAGTAATATCTAAATGTCGAGAACAATGTATCATTTAGCAATTTCATTACTAAGATATTAATAGAAATAAGTCATTTCTTATTAATGGCGCCAAGATGATCATCATCTGATTTTAAAAAATGAGTTTTCACATTTTTTGATATTATATTACTCATATTATGGTTGCAATAATTGAAATAAAATAATTAGCTTCTATTTAAAATCACATTAGGCCTTAATTAAAACCTATATAAGCACATCTTTTGTCTTCAGTAATGCTTCTGGTATTCCTTGGTAATCCTCTTCTATTCTCATTATTCTTATACTGTATTAGCAATGCCCTGATGTGACAAAGTGAAGTGGTAATGGGAGTCACTTGGGCATTGTTATACAGTAGCACATGGTGTTTGGTTTCTTACGCTCTAACCTTTGCTTTTTCTGATTTCTTTCAAGATCAACTGGCCGTTTTGGCGAATATCGAACCATTCCGATTTGGCGGCACTATATCACGTTCTAGACCTTGGCTATCTCTAACCCAAATATGGACACAAACACAGAGCGCCATCTAATGCATATTTCTTATTTCGTTAAAGATGACATGGCCGTTCTGGCGGATAGCAAACCATTCCGATCTAGCGGCCCTGCACCATGCATTAGACTTGGGCTACCTATAACCCCTGCAGGGCTTAAATATAGAGGGCGCAGGGCTTAAATATAGAGGGCTCTAAGAGTCCTTTCTGTCTCACACAGGGCAGACAGTGTTCAGAGAACATTCAGACACTCAGTGCAATCAATGACTCTAGCATGGAAACATTGCCCACTTCATCCTTCTAAAGGTTTGGAGGCAAACTTTGGTTGCCATAGCAACCCATGTAAATATCCAGATGTCACTCATGGAGATCTTAGTATTGTGTGTACAGTATATTGGACATGCATTATGGTGTCTTGATGGATGTGGTGTGATGTCACAATGAACTTGCATTATGATGTCACAATGGCTTATTGTAACAATTGAATGTGACATTGTGGTAGGGAGTCAAATTTTAAAATGGTTTTATACCAAACAAAGACAAGATTATAGAGTACAAAACCACAATGAACATATACAGTGTAGTGCGATGTCACAATTACCATACAGTGTATAGTCTGATGTCATAATGGAGATACAGTGTAGAATGAGGTCATAATGACAATACAATGTGATATCATAATGAACATATACATTGATAACACAATGGTGCTGCAGACGTCACAAAGGAGGTACTACCTAGGTACCCACCATGCTTACATAGCCACCTGAATTGACCAATGAGCATCTAGAATCTCAAATTGGATCACAAATTGCCAGGTTTATTGATGCACCTCCTGTGTATCACTAGTGAAAAACTCACCAGTATGTAGAGTAACAATTATATTGTAAAATTTATTATTGACAATTATTTCGCATCAAAGTTCGACATTGTTTCTGTTGTTTGTAATATGCCTGGTCCAGATGTTATTTTAGATATATGCCAAATGTAGATTCCAGTACAGTTAGTAGGTGCTTTAATGTTCAATTATTTCATCTAGATTTTATTTAAAACCAAATGTACAGTAACAGTATGTATATCTACAGAAACATATTCAAAATATGTTAAATGTTCAACCATTTACATTGTACAGTATTTATGTACATGTAAAATACAAGTTTAAATGGTGCCTTTGTTGACAAACTATTTATATATTATAGTGGTACAATAGTATTGAGAGCATAGAGAAATGGTTAGTGTCACACACAAGACAATGAAATAAACAACAAGTATATTTAGAACCCAGTAAAGTCTAAATGATATTAGTACTTGTTATTCTGTGTTATGTACAACAGAGTTTTAAACCTGAGACTTACATATATGTTTTTAAATGTGAATACCAGAATTGGTGAAATATTGTTATGGTCTCCCACTTTTTTTTGGCTGCGGTTGGAGTTTGGTGTTTTGTGTTCAGTGTCTGTAACAAATGTTAAAGTTCTTTATGATTCCAAAATAACATTTTTCCTGATTTGAAATGGCCTGGGCATCTCAAAATTGCTTTCGAATTCACTAAAATGGTCCGGAAATTTTAGAAAGACAAAATTAAAATAATCTGGGAACTTTGCCTAGTCCAGTCAAGATAGCACAAAAAATAGTGACTATTGTAAAGTATTATTTTATTAATTAAATGACACTTCAAAATGGTTATCTGCATATTTGCTTTCCATTAGTCAAGGAAATGGCAGGGAATTTCATGTTCAGATTCTGTAGGAACTGTATATACTCCCAAATAGGGTACCCCGGGAGAGGTTAGGCTTTCAAAACTAGGAAGCATCCAAATGCATTCAAAACTAACTAGTAGATGTTATCACATTTATATTATATTATTTATACTCTGTAGCCTCATATACCAGTTTCAACACCAGGTGCCTAAACTTATGTCGGATAAATTCCAAGGGTATATCATAGATATTCACCTTGTATATATGGTTCATCACAGTTTAAGACGCTATACTGTATAAGTGGTATTTAATCCGAGTGGTTAATTTTCCGAATGGTCAAATTTCATCTTTTTCCAAATTTTAATTTTCCTAATTACAAGAAACCTCCCATTGGATAACATTATAAAGACAATATTTCCGACATTTAATTTTCCGAACCTGGCAAAAATTAGGAAATAGGCAAATTAAATGATGAGACAAAATTACCACTTATACAGTATTTTGTGTTTGTTGGTTATTTCATTGTCATTGTGTGTGACAGCATTGTGACCTGTTACCATGTAATCTACACACATTGTTTATGGTAATTAATAGAACTTTGCTTTTCTTTGTTTACTGTATGAACTTGATAGCAATGTGTCTCACATTGCATCTCATTCAATCATATTGTAAAATAAATTAAAATATTAAATATACATACATGTGTTATGTTGGGAATTATTTATCCACAGTATTATTACCTTCTAGGCATCAAGTCAAAACAGAAATAATTAGTATTTTTACTTATGAATGCAATGTTCTATTGATGTCCAAATTATCTGCAACATCCCTCCCTTCACTGTTGATATTTCAATTGGTCCAATTTGACTTCTACATAATATTTTCACATAGAATAGCCAACGTTAGTATTTTATGAAGTTAAAAGATATAGGAATGATGCAGATAAATGATGTTATTCTGATCCCATTTTACCATTTACTTTAATTGATATTTCTGCAAACATGGGATAAATAAGCGTTGTGTACTGGGAGGTTTTGGATATAGGGTTTATGCCAAGGGAAATATGTATATCTCCCGAGGGACCACAAGGACCGAGGATACAGTGTGTATCCATCCCGGTCCCGCACCTTTGTGATATGCTCGTTATGAACCTACAACCTCAGTATGTGTGGAATACATAGAGGTTATTTAATGGGAGCTTTTTGATACAGGGTATATCTGAGGGAAATACTAGATATTTGATTCTCATAATCTTTTAAGTATAGGATAAATCAGTTATTGAATGTTCGATTTTTGATACAGGGAATATCCCTATTTTAATACGTATTTAACGAGGGATATTCCCTGTATCAAAAATCGAACATTCAATAACTGATTTATCCTATACTTAAACGATTATTAGAATTAAATATGCATTGAATATCAGGGAACCCTAATGTAGTAATTACAAACGATAATTACAATCAAAACATAAATATTTTATCTCAATTTAAAGTCAAAAATTTTTGTTTTTAAAACTCAACAGCTTTCAACTCATTCCTTATGAGCGGGTGATATAAATGAGCGGGAGATCCCAGCATGGTATTCACCTATAACACTACTAAGTATGGGATAAATTGTTATCTACCTGGAACCTTAGGTATTATGGGAAGTATCAGTTGTGTCTGGTCGGTTTTAGATACATGACTTATCACTCGGGAAATATGTGTATCTCCCTTATATTATCATCGAGATAACCCAAGTATACTGTATAAACTTCCCAACTAACTTGCAAGCAAACAACCCTCATATACGTAATAACAAAAACATAAATTAACATAACAACTACTGGGGAACATAAAAACAGAAGAAGGTCTTAGAGGCAGGGATTTCCCATCATGATACTCATAGCATCTTTCTGTTTCACCTGAAGAAATGACATGTCATGGTTTAGCATGATGGGGATTTCTTAACAATAGCAATCTGTCGAATCTGGTTGCTTAGATTTAAATATAGATGGCAGATTGGTCTAGTCTATTCATTTTAGATAAAACGTTGTATTTGAAAGTAATGTTTTTCACAACCTAAACGTGCATTTGTATGGGCGATTATTCATTGGCATTTCTTCTTAAATCTTCTTAAATCGGTACGGACCGGGCAATTCACTCTAAGGATACTCATTTCTACATTAAATGACCGCCATATTAAAACCAGGTCCTAATTACTACAGCGTACAGTCTACAGACAAAAGAGCGTAAAACGCATCTTTCTTTAGAACGCAATCGTGGGTTGTTCTGAGGTACCTAGTGATATTTTGAGCTATACCGAGAGAATATACATGAACAAATGGGGCAAATGTTGTGTTTGAATACTTACGATAAATGTGTCATTATTAGGATTGTTCCTTCGATTGCTCGGATGTTCGCCTTGTAATTATAGTGATAGAACTATGTACGAGTACCAAAATTATCAAAAGTAGAAAGATAAAAACATGTTTAAAAGCACACTAAGAGAGAAAGTCAAATATTACGAAGTACAATTCAGTATTAAAGAGAACATTCGGTTATCAAGAAACAAAACCTGAACAATCCAAACAATGATTGAAGTACAAGAAAACAATGTCTAACATGATCCCTTCCATCTCTCATGAATCGATACAATTCACGAGGGTATTGGCCTTTCATTCATATTGGTGTCCTTACAATACTATTAGGGGCATTTGAATCATACTGGTGTCATAACAAAACTAAGGAACATTTCATTCATACTGGTGTCATTACAATACTAAGGAACATTTTATTCATACTGGTGTCATTACAATACTTAAGGAACATTTCATTCATACTGGTCAGTGGCGTAGGAACAATGTACGCCAAAACGCCAGTGCGTAGTGTTGAAAAGTGAGAATAAAAAAGGCTTATTAATTTTTTTATGTTCTTTTGTCATATTTTCTCATTGTGCATAAATTGTAAAAGTAATCTCGAGCACACTAGCATAAAGAAATGTTTTTTTATACCATATGATATGCTCGATTTTTCAATAGTACTCTTTTGCAAGGTTTTTGTGCCTCTGTTATTTTCTAACCTGGGCCGCAGATAAATGACACTTTTTGAAAAATTAAATGCATGAAATATTGAATTAGTTTTAAAATATTGAAAAGTTATGTACCTTGTTTCTAATACTATAGAAAATGCATTTAGTAATCATTATTGCTCATTTTGGTAAATAATCATTGTGAACAGATTTCATAAGAATCGAGCCACGATTGACTATGCATTTTAAAAGTAAGCTACAATTTCGCTAAATATTCGTGAATCGCGTTCTCTTTACGAAATTTGAGATAAAAACAGCGTTTTCTACTAGTTGATGAATACTTTTGCAGTTTCTGTGCATGTTCCGTAATGCTTATGCAGCATTTATCTATTTTCTTACTAAATCACTCATTGTTTTTGTAGTACTTCTCGAAATATGAATGTCAAAGACAAAAACAATTTAAAATTGTTGATTATTCAATTACGCGTTCCATTGATTTCAATTAGTTTCAAAGCTATTAGTCTGCATTTTTGGCACCCCTAAGTCACGTTGACCTCGATTTGACCTTTGTAGAGGGGGGGGGGGTATTTGGTCTTGTGAATTAATGTTATAATAAGTTTGCAGACATTAGGATTAATTGTATCATTGATCACGAACATGCTTCTTTAAATCGATTGATCATACTAGTTTCTTTAATCTGTATTGTATTACACGATACACAGTGGAATCAGACAATGGAATTTAAATTCAATTATTCAGAAATGGTTAAAAATCTCACATTGTCATCCTGAAAGTCGTCTTTATCATTCGAGAAAAATAACATTAACATTAAGAAAAGTGAGAATGAGATGTGTCGAGATTTAAAAGATCGGCTTTCCATGGTGACTTTATCACGCCTTACCATTACCATACCAAGGTACAGTGACAAAATATACCGTAGTACACGTTCGATGTACGATGTCACTATTTAACCGATTTGAAGCAAAGACAATGAAGTAGGTTTGATGTAGGTTTTAAAAAAAATAATCAGAGGAATGCATTAAGGATTTCATGTTTGACTTTTTGTGTATTCGTTTAGGAAGACATTTAACTTTCTAATAACGTTAAAAGATTTTCGAACAGTATTCGATTTTTTCGTCGTCAATCTACCCATATAATTGGTCGGTTGGAAAATGTTGTGTTTTTACATATTTCCTTTGATAATTTCTTCCCCTGTCGTCTAAGAGTGTCGATGATATTTATGAGAATATGTTTTGTTTTAATAAGTATTAACATTTTGGCTATAATTTAAAAAATCATTAGTGTATGTTGTCAACTCGAATGTACATTGTCTCATTGAACTTACTCAATTCACAGTTAACCCTAATGCAGACAACGTATTTTTCATAACACCGAGGAGGAAGGAAACTCCGTGGCAGTACTAGTCTTCAACATATTCTATTCCGAGACACTGGATGGGAGTTTGGGCTGGAATCTAACACCAAATGGACACAAATTAACCACCACAACAATACTTTCATAAAATGAAAAAGCAAAAAGGATACTTGAACATGTTCGTTAAAGATCACTTGTTACTCATAAAAACCTTAATGAATTTTGAAATGAAATCATTACATTGTTTAATATTACGTATATCTCATGAATTTCAATTACAGTGACAACGTACATTCGAGTTGACAACGCACATTTCTGAT